GCCATAACACATAATCAAATAGCCAAAGTTTGTGGGGAAGCTCTTAGAAAATGTACCGTTCATGTTACTAGTGCCTCACATCACTCAAACTTCTCTACAGCAATTTGTGGTTTTCTTTTGTTTTTGGTGTGATAGTTCACATTTTATTTTTGTATCAGCTAATATTTGTTAAAAGCAAGTTTATGATTACAGATTTCATAGACCTGATTTGGAATGTTTTTAACTTTAATTTTATCAATTGTATATCAATGCTTAATACTAGCATAGTGAGATGATGACAATGATGATACTATAAACATTCTCTTATTATGGTGCTTTATATATGCTAGACACTGTTCTTAACAATTTACATATAATTTCACTTGATGATAACATATTGGAATAGGTTTTTAACCAGTAAGCGCTTTCAGACAAGTCCCTCTGCTCCTATACAGCTCCACCACCAGCTCATTATGGCTCCTGAAATCCAACCATTAGGTAGTATTTTAAAGAGCTTAAACTGGACATAGTTTAGGTCCCAGTCTGTGTTCATATTTAAGCTATTATCTCTTGGTTGCAAATCTACCCTTCTTTACTTTGTAATCCTGGTGCTAAACTACACAGCTTTCATCCCTCTCTTTAAGATGCGTCCTACCCAGTTCTGGGAATAGGAAGTATTCTAGGGAGATGAGAAGAAAGAAGAGAAAAGGAAGAAGGGACTTCTTCAGTCTATTCTAAATCTGTTCTTCTCTAAGGACTGTCCTGATAATAGCCCTCCACTCTGGCAATAGTACTTGTTTAAACCTCTAAGTTATTATTGCATTTCCAGGACTAGCCCCATCATGCCCCAGCCACAGACCCCTTTAAAAGACTGAACCCCAGTTCCTTGGGAATCTTTCTCAAGATGATGTTCCCAGCCCCTTCTCTCTCTCTCACTCTTTTTTCCCCCCTAGTTTTAAGGATAGTAGGTGCTTCTCTATCTGAAATCTGCTTGATACCAGGAGATTCTGAAGTTTATTTGATCACATCCATGTCCTTTAATAAAGTGCTGCTCTCCAATAGGAAGTGTCACACTAGTAAGTCATAATATGAAGTCACATCACAATTAACTAAAAGCATCACTCTTATTGATTGTAATGAAATAATCCTGAGAATCAAGTGTCTTCACTTCATAATTTTTTATAGTAGTTATGAGGATATAAGAACTGTGCGGGGGTTGGTCCTCTTCTGACAGCACTGGAGAATCAATAGGCAGAAAAGTATGAGCTCGGGCTTTTAATTCTCAGTTCAAGTAATAGAGAACAAAGGAACTTCTATGGAAGTCTCAAAAGAATCTCTTATTTCTTGTAGCTACAAGGCTGGCTTCTCTTAAATAGTAGATGCATATTTTAATTGTGCTGAATTTAGAATTACAATGTAAATCAAATTGTACATTGGCCGTGTCTCTCATGAGAAAGTCAGGACATTAATTGGGAAGGAAAGTGAGATTGAAACTTGTATGGTGACATATGAATGGACTTTAACAGTGCTTAGAATCTTAGAACTCTAAGGTTTTCTACGATTTTTTTTAAAAGATTTTTATTTGCAAGAAAATAAGCACGGGCTTGCATGCTTGACAAGCAGACTTCTCGCTGAGCATGGAGCCAGATGCAGGGCTCCAAGTGAGGCTGGATTTCAAGATCCTGAAATAATGACCTGAGCCAAAATCAAGAGTCAGATGCTGAACTTACCGAGCCACCCAAGCTCCTAAGACTTTCTTAGTGATGGAAGCAGTCCACCTTCCTGGATGTGAGAGGACTATCCTGCTCTTGGCTTAAGACCCTTCGGTAATTCTGTAAGGTTAAAAAAATTGCAAGTCAACCAGTTGACAGGCTGAGAGAAAAGGGTAGTAGAAGAAGGAAGTTATTTATATCAACTACAATCATGTAACTCATTACACGGATGGGGACTATAGAAGGTATGCATATCTTATTCCTTACTTGCTATTACTTTTTAGACATATATAGAGTTCTATCTTTCTGTAAAGGTCACATGGGTATTTAAATAAATCTCAACAAATTGATATTTGTATGTATCAAATACTTTCTTTTGATTTCCCTTCCATTCCCTTACTGTTTCATGGAAAGGTATTTTCATCATAGACAGGCTTACAACTGAATTTTTGGGAAACAGATTATTCAAGTAGGACCGTGATTATATTAGAAGATTAAATATCATCATTCAGAAATGGATGCTGTGATCCTTGCCTAGAAATGGATATGATGGCTGTTTGGATTTTGTGTATCTCTTTCTTGGACAAAAGATGAGAGCATTTTGTTTTTACAAAGGATAATTGCATCTTATTGTTCTGAGATAGTATACATATGCACAGAAGTGAATGTACGGTACCAAGTAACTGAGAAGGTGAAGTTTGTCTGTTATTAAACATTTATCTGTCATCTCCAAATCCAGCCTTCCATACTCTATTTTGTGATACTCGGGCTGGGACTCAAGTTTTCATTTCTTCTCTGCCACTGTCAGGTTATTCTTAGAGAAAGCACTGGAGGAAGACTAGGGAGCAGGTGGAAAGGGAAGGGAAAAGAACATTCTCTTTTTTGTTGACTTGCTTTGCCTTTTAATGTTACCCTTCACCTTGTGAAAACAGTTAATTCCAGTCTCCAGTGTTTTGCATTCCTAGAACAAGCCTCATTGTGCCTTCCAAGGTATCAGTTTCAGTCAAGCAACACCTCTTCCTTGCAAGTCTGATCCCAAATGTGCAAGTGTTCTCCTGCACATGACTAAGATTCTAGCAGCACGTGGACAGACCACAGAGGTCTGAGATGCAGCCCCAAGGTGCCCCTCTTGATGATTCCACCATCAACCATGTGGTACTCTGCCCTTGGAAGTCTGATTCTCAGCTCTGGGGTTTCCTTCTCTGAGCTACTGAGCTATCCTCTTCTCTTCTGAGGTTGATTGAGTCCAGCTCTATAAGGCCTCTTGCCTAACGTTTCAGACTCTGTAAACCTTATCAGCTTTCTTTTGGTGTTTACTCCTATAGGTACTATCTCTGTGTTTCTCATTTATCAGTTCCTTCTATACTAAATTCTCTTGAAACACATAATCTAGTTTCTGTTTTACACATTCCTAATTTGTGTTGGCTGGGGTAAGTTATGTGGCCATTCAGATTCAGTTCCTTACCGGTTTTATTGATGGGTTATAGAAGGGATGGTTCAAATAATATAAAAGTGGTGTTTCACCACCTTTTCTGGTGAATACTAGTCCCAACATTTCCTCCCTTCAAAACAATACTTATGGCCATGTGTATTTGGGAAATGTTAAATACTATAGCAAACTGTGGGAGAATCATAGTACACATAAGCATAATAAAGGCTTTGAGAAGTCCAGCAGGAAAAAAAACAAACAAACTTATTTTACTCTAATTCAGTATCTCTTCACAAATTATTTAGCTAGAAAAACTTTTATTTTCAGTTAATCTCTATCACCATGCCATGACATACATTGAATAATAGTATTCTCTAGAATCCTTAGCAATTTAGAAGTTTTGTAATTAAATGAATTTTTTCAAGATGCTTTTATTGAGGAGAAATCTAATGCCAATGGATTGGTTTTACTTATCTCTTTCAGCTCTAAGCATAAATGTTGACTGAAAGTAATGTCCTTTGCAGTGAAATGTAGAAAGAATGCTGAAGAAGGGGCAGGAAGGATGTCAGAAAACCAGGAAAATTGTTACAGGAAATGAAAGACAAGATGAGAGAATTCTGGAGAAGATTAAAAATAGAGTCACAATGGGTCCTATGAAGATATGTATGGTTATGGTTAAGTGAACAAACTATGAATTTACACTGCTTAAATATGACTCTAATCTATGTCACCTGAGTGCCACTTGCTTTTGAAGAAAATGAGTTATCTTCTCTGTACCTTGATTTCTCATCTTTAAATGGAAGATAATAGTAGTATATACTTCACTGGTTTATGAGGAAGATTAAATGTAATGTAGCATATAAGATGATAACACTTGCCTAGTATTTGATGTACTCTCTAAAACAGAAGTAGGCCATATTGAGTTAGACTCATTTAATTTACATAGAAAAGAATTGTAATGAAACAACCATAAATTATTCAAAATGGAAGGACTCTAAAGGGCATCTGATCAATCCCTCGTATCCTATAGCTGAAAATCAATGAGGTTTTCCAGAGACTGAGATTTGGTCAGGGAGCTAATTCATAGAGACATTGGATAGAGCTCTCGGTCTCCTCACCTTTATCAGAGAACTATTTTAATTACCCTCTAACTTGTTAGGCTGTAGAATTTTCGCATTTTTCTGGATTAAGTCAGGAGCAGTAATCTCAAAATATTTCTTTCTGGGTTCATAGCTCAGGGTGACCTCAATGACCTCAATTTAAGATGCAACAACAGCTAATGAAGGGTTTATCAATAATGAGTTTTCCTATGCCTAGTTCCTGTTTTTCTAAGACTGTTATTCTGTGTGGGAGAAGCATGGATAAAGTCAGCATCAGGAAGAGTTGGGATAGCAGAAAGAGAGAAAAGTCATTCATTTTTTTTTTCAGCTTTATTGAGGTAAAAGTTGACAAATAAAATTGTAAGGTATTTACAGTGTACTGTGTGATGATTTGATATAAGAATACATTAGGAAATGATTCCCCTTACTGAGTTAGTCAACATATCCATCACCTCACATAGTTGCTTTTAAAATTTTTTTTTTTTTTTTTTTTGCTGAGAACATTTTAATGCTCTCTTACTAAATTTCAATTATACAATACAGTGTTCTACTGTAGTTACCCTGTTATATATTAGATCCTCAGACCCTCTTCATCTTATAACTGAAAGTGTGTGGCGGGAACAGGAAGGAGAGGAAAGATTGACTCTGAAAACAGACTCAACTCTTCAATGTTTAGGGTGAGGTGACTGAGCTGACCTGTCCTGTACCTTCTACTTGTTAGAATCATCAGGGACACTACTATTAAGTAGAGTGTCTTAATTTCTTCATACTTAAGAGAAGTCTTCTCCCTAGCTTTATTAAATAGATCCAGAGAACCATGTTCATTGTTTTATTTAGTGGTATACATAGGTAGAAAATATGAGCTATAGCCACAGTCATAATATAACAAGGCTTCGTTACAGTTTCATTGTTTTCTACAATTTCATGGAATTATGATGAACATATTATTTTGAAAGAAGAGCTTACTGAGATAAAATAGCACTGTATTGCAGCCCAACTAAAGCTATGTACATATGCGTACTTTTTAAAATTTATCTATTCATTGAGGTCAAATAGCACAGCAAGGTTAAAACAAATGGCTAAGCTCAATATGGGCTTGACACTGAAAACCATTTTACTAGCATAAAGGACTCCAACATGCTGGTATTAAATCTACTGATAAATATTTAGACTATTTATATTTTGCTGTCTTTGAGAACTAAGCCAAAATAAACATAGTTTAAGGCAACCTTTGGAAGTGTTGGCATTTCTTATTTTATATTCTTTGTGGTAAATGCTCTTCACAGCGACAATTAAAATATTGAACAATGAAGGACAGAGATTGGCAAATTCCTCTTAAGTCCATCTTATTCTCTTACAAACTTTTTCTCCAACATACAGAAAAGTCATATTTTAAACAACCTTCAACTTCTAGTGTTGAGGAGTAACATTAGTGCTTTTTGACCCACACATGCTACTCAGAGCTATATGTTACAGATTTTCAATGTTCAGAAAAGCATCTATACAAGTCTCAATGCTATCAGAAAATGAGAACTTGCAACATCCAAGTTGTCCTGGCTGCAAACTATTCAACACTGCTGCTCACTTCCATCGTGTCTTTGGAAAGGTAAACTACCCAGTATACAAGGTTAAATCCTGCAAATGCAACTGGGAAGAGAATCCGAGAATACTGGTCTATTTTACTGGTGCCTCCAAAGGCTGGAGAGAGTGGTGGGGGTGTGACAGATGTTGATGGTAAGATAGGAGCTCTAGTGAGGACTTTGCTGGCCTCAGGGGATGGAACTATTGGCAAGGTCAGAGAGGTGATTCTTTTCTTCAGGTGATACTTGGAATCAGGATGCTGTAGGCAAAAGACATAAATATTCAGCCTAGGTAAAAGACTAGTGATCACTTAGTTATTTACTTTTTCACCCTGAACAGATTTTATTGACTGCATACTATGTAAGATGAAATATTAGCAAATTTCTTTTTCTTTGTTTAAGATTTTATTTATTTATTTGACAGAGGGAGATATCACAAGTAGGAAGAGAGGCAGAAAGAGAGAGAGGAGGAAGCAGGCTCCCATGCCGGGCTCTATCCCAGGACCCTGGGATCATGACCTGAGCCGAAGGCAGAAGCTTTAACCCACTGAACCACGCAGGCGCCCCGCAAATTTCTTTTTTAATATTAGCAAATTTTTAATAGTATTTGGTGGTCCTACCTTTCTAAGAAAGTGGTAAAATAAATTTAAAAAAATGATTTGCTGCCATCCAAAACCCTATAATTTCATACATCAGCAATTGATGCCAAGCATAGTCTACATCCCAGAAACTGTGTTGACCACTGGGCCATTAGGAAGAGATAAACCAGGTTGCAAAGGTTTATCCAACCCCTTCTCCCTGGTAATGCATAAACCTATAGGGCAATGAGTGTGGGCAACGAGAGGGATTTCAATTTGGAATATATGGACAATTAATTAATACAAGAAAATATAGCAATTCAGTTAGTTGATATCATTCTTCTAGCCTACATCCTCATCTTCACACGTTCATAAGTGTGACCCAGCTGAGATAATAGCCACAAAAAATACTAAGGTGCTTATATATGTGAAAAGCCAGTGACAGAGTACCAATACCCTTAAACCGAGTGGGATGACTGTTCATCCCTTGAAATACAGCTGTCTCTTAAGTTCAGAAGTTCAATATTGAGAGCTTTCTGCTTCCCATTCAGAACTTCTCCACTCGTCTCTTCTCCCTCCATCCTAAGTCACCAAAAAATCATTCATTTACTGACCTCAAAATTGTTACATGTTCTTTTTTGTCATTAGAAATCTTAAGACAACCCATTTAGTCCTGAAAGGTATATTTAGTACATTAATTGTTAGGTGAAAAGGCTAAGTCCAGAGAATGGAGCTGGTAATACCTTGCCCATAGTCACACAGTTAGTAATAAACTACACTGGTCATTTGCGATCGTTGTTTCATCATCCCCACATTTTCTTGTCTTCACTTTAAAGTATTGGGTCTAGTGCAGGGACTCTAATTTTGTTTCCTTTAGACTCTTTTCATACTTGGAGACTAGAGGACCTTGCTCTGATTTGTATCTTTTCTTGTCTATATTCTGTACTAGTCACTCTCCTTGTGACCAGGTTGTCCTTGCTGGTTTCTGCCTTCAAACACTTGCTGTACATTATCTCTGCTCTTGTAAAACTACCTTGTTTTCTCCCTGGCAGCAAAATCACCACTTTGATGCCTGGCAGGGTATGTTACTCACGTGGGCAGACTCCTGTGGCTTTAGCCAGCAACCCCGCAGCAACAGGATGAGGCAGCCACCTCCCCTGTGCCGGTTGAGCCACAGGACCAGAGTGACCTGCCGATGTGGTGACATTTGGAGTGCGAGAATCAACAATTCTAAGAACCTCTTCTCTCTATAGTCCCCTTTTGAATTTTGCTGTTTGATTTGTCATGGAATTTACTGAGTATCTAAATAATAATAGTCATCATTGAGAGTTCAAGCCCAGTGTACATTTAAAGGCTGTGGGAAAATCTTTTCACCAAAAGCAAAAATGACTCTCTGTAGTTAAGTCTGATGGTGAGTTGCAAGGAAAGAATATCTTTTTTTGTTATGTATTGGGCCAGTATTATCCTAGGGACTCTTGACATAATTAAATAAATCATAGGTTTTGGTGGTAAAGATAATTTAAAATAGTGAGGGCTCAATCTGCTGATCTTGGGAAATAAGTGATACTTTCTACTAAAAACATGTGACAGCTAAGGACTACTGTACCCAGGGTCACCGGTCAGCATGTGGATAGGACCAGAGTAGAGGTATGTTGGTCTCAGTGGATGCTGCCTATAGAGAATAAACATAGCACCTACTTTCCAGAGTTTCTATTGTGTATCTCAGGCTCTAATTTGAATTTTTAGCCATTAACTATGTTACTGAAATACTCTCCACCTAAAAGAGCAAATGTGTTAGTGTTTCATTTTCTAAAAAGAGTCAACCTCCTCCCAGATACATGGAATATTAAAATATTTCACTCTAGTAAAATTTCTAAGGATCATGATAGAGTAAAACAAGGGCAAGCCTTAGAGTAGATAGTCTTTCTAAACTCATGATTTTTAATAGCATGCATTGCCTATGTTTATTTCTTTTTTTAATTTCTTTTTTTAAGTAGAAAGAGAGCAGACATGAAAAAATTCATTGATAAAACATAAGTTCATTATAAAACATAATCTACCATAAAGATGTAAGGCATTGTTTTATCTCTCCCTCTTTAGAACTGTGGGGGAGAAAAGTTAATTGTCAATCTTTTCACATTGTCACAATGTCACACATGACTTATTAAGAATTACCAAATGACCCTTGTCTGAAGTTAAGCAACATCACTAAAAACACCATGAAAGTTTTAATGGCATTAAATTTTGGGCCTGGAATGAAAGATCCCCTACAACAGTATTCCCCTTTCCTCATCTGCTTCTCCAAACAATCTCAGTGGAAGGTTCCTTGAGAGTTAAGTGGACAAAAGAGTCAGAAATCCCTTGAGTGCAGTTCTATATGTACTACTTACCTGCCATATGAAGTTCCCATCTTTAAAGCTAGGGACAATTATTGCTTTCTCTGTTTTTCTTTTCTTTAAGAATTTGAGAAAGAAAATATTCATAGATAAGATAGATGGATATTTTATATATTATATATATACATATATATATATAAATAATAGATTTTCAAGAAAGAGAACCCTTTTCTGCTTACTTAACTGTTATAATTTGTTCAGCTCTTATCACATTCTTCCTTGTGAATATTATTTTTGTTCTGTCTTATCTCTTTTCCTGACATGAAATCTCTTTATTGGTAGAGGGCATCTTATTGTCAAGTATAAGCACTCCACAGTGCCTAATTAGTGCACAAAACATAGTATGTGCTTAATAAGCATATGCCGATGCAACAAATGAATGAAAATCTGAACATTTCCAGGATTTCTTAAGTAATCAGGCAAGGAGAAGAAAACAAAAAAATTTATGATTATTTAACATTGTATTTTAGTGTCTTGTTTCATATTACAAGTACCATATCTGAATGCTTACAATTGACAAACACTACACAGACTTTACATGCATTATTTTGCTAATTCCTAGAAAAAGAAACTATGATGAAATATTATTATTTTCATTTTAGAGATAATCAAATGAAGGCTTAAGTGGGATGCTCACCCAGTAACTGGCAGTGCCTGAATATGATCCCTCTCAGATGCTAAAGATCACACTCTAAATAATTATTATGGTTTCTCCCCATCAGTGTTAAGGTTCAGGGTACAGTTTCTCAAACACAGAACTATTGACATTTTGGGGTCACAACTTTTGTGTTGTGGGTCATTGTCCTGTACTTCATAGGATGTTGAAGAGCTTCAGTTGTGGGCTCTACTTCTACCCAGAAGATGCCTGGAGCATCTCCCTCCCCAAAGTGGTGACAACCCAAAATATCTCCAGGGATTGCAAACTACTCTCTGGGGAGAAAAGTCACCTACCACTGAGTATCACTGGCTTAGAGTTACAGCTGTCCAGCGGCGACTGGGGGTGTTTCTAGCAGGCAGCGAATATGACATACTCAGGGAAATGGAAGAGGTCTGGCTAACCCACATGCTGGATAATCAGCTCCTGAATAATTGGGAAATGACAGTATAGGAAACCGGACTCCAATTTAGAAGAATCACATTGAATTTCTGAAGTGAAAAGAAAGCCAATTTTACAAGCCATTCAAGATACAGGTTTGCATCAGACTCTGCCTGTTCTATTGTAAGCTCAGCAGCTTCAGCTGATGGTAAAATAGGTTTTTGTCAGAGTCCAGATGAGGGCTCAGCTTGGGGCTGTCACTGTTTTGAGTGGAACACCTGTGGTTTTGAATTTTTCCAGGGCTCCCCTGCTGCTGAATGCTATCCTGCTTTGGGTATTTATAGAGCATTGCTTTGTTTTAAATAATGCCATATTGCAAAGGTACTTTGAGTCAAACTGGACTTTATGACAATCAATTATTTGATGTAAAGATAAGACACTTGGAAAGTACTTAAAGCAATTTTGATACAACATTCAGTAACTAATATTTAAAGAGGAGGGGGCAATGGGTTACCTCTCAAGAGAGATATTCTAACCACAGCTACATTATCCAAGGGACAAAAAAAAGCATCTGTTTTTAGAAGCAGCAAAGAGAGGCACCAAATATAAGAGAAATCTGAAAATATTTAGTACTTGATTTAAAAAAACTATTATATTAATTATTGTGGAGGAAGTAAGAATTTCAAATAAAATTTTCTTGCATCTACATAATAGCTGGTAGAATTGGGACAGAGACGATTCCAGAATTTCTACAAAGAAGCAGCTTTTTGGCAGCAATCTGGTAATCATATTGGAATGTTTGGATGGTAAAGAAGGGAATATTGGATGAGGATTTGATAGAAGGTATAGGGAAAGAACTAACCACCCACATCCCTCATTTAATCCAACCTACCCTCTCTTTAAATTATGAAATAGCACAACCATGGTGCAGGGACTGAGTCTCAGATGGGCTACAGAGTAATGATAGTATTCAAAAAATCTTGACAATATTTGGAACATGGGAGGTTAATCTTTCAGTATTCTATGCTTTCTATATCTGTACATGGTTGGAAGGCAACTGTGATAATGACCCAGCAGATCATCCCAACCTTGAAAGAGAATATGGAAAGGATATGTCTTATTTCCCTCTTTATTCCCAAGTTTCTAGCAACTGATTTAGTGTTTCTAGAACAGGACCAAGCTCATCCTTCGGTTCTCAGCCGATGCAACACTTCCTCCAGAATGATGCTCTCTCCAGCCTGTGGTAGGTTCCCTTGCATGACTCTTCATTAGCCACAATACATCTCTAATACAGCCTTTATCACAATGTATCATTATGGCTCATATGTTTGTCTTTCTTCCTGTTCAGCAAGAAGCTCATGAGGGAAGAGGCAGTACTGATGTCACTCACTAATATATCCCTAGCATTCTACAAAGGATATAGAACATAAGATCATTTAATAAGTACTTATAATATGAATAATTCATTGAATATATATGTACTCAATAAATGGGTGCCAGGTGAAAAGGGAAAAAATAATGAATAAACAATATAAGCAGTATAAATATAATCATTGTCCTGACTAATGAAATTTTGGCCAATTTTGTTGTAGATAATTTACCAAGAACGTCACACTTCCTGTGAAAAAAGAAAATGAGACTGGATGTGTCGATGGGTGGGGGGGAGTTCATTCTTAAGAACATAATAATGAGGGCTTAGACCTTTAAAATAACAAGGAATCTAGCAAAACATCCAAAAAGTGATTGAGGTCTAAACTTGGTCTCATATGCAGAATAAGTATACCCCAGATACATAACAATTTATAAAACATGAAGATAAGACTAACTCTTTAATGACAAGATAAGAAACCAGATAAAAGCAATAAGGAGAAGGGAGTTGAGGGAACTTGGAAGGGGAGATGAACCATGAGAGACTATGGACTCTGAAAAACAATCTGAGGGTTTTGAAGGGGCGGGGGGTGGGAGGTTGGGGATCCAGGTGGTGGGTATTGGAGAGGGCACGGATTGCATGGAGCACTGGGTGTGGTGCAAAAATAATGAATACTGTTATGCTGAAAAATAAAAAATTTAAAAAAAAAGCAATAAGGAAAAGTAATGTAAAAGCAGTAAAGAAGCTGTGGATAATTTCTTCTCATAATCTAAAAACAAAACAAAACAAAACAAAAAACCCACAAAAAACCAAGAAAACAACAACAAAAAAATCCAAAACCCAGTATCTAGTTCCAACTACCTTAAAACCAGAAAGCACTTCTGAGGTATTAGTTTTAAATATCTCTTCAGGTTTGAGTATTAGATTTAAAACTCCTGAATTTCCTTGTCATTATTATATTAAATTTCAAGGTCAAAATCAAAGTGATAAACTGTTTCCTATATTCATTCTAAGTAGCTTCTTGTGAGAAGCAATGAGGACATTAAAATATAACTTAGAATCACATGAAACATCTAAGCACTTAATTTTATTTCAACCTCACCACATTGGTTTGCTATTTCAATGTCTAACTTACTCAAATAATGCTATTTTGATTAGAACTGAATAGGCACTTTTAAATGTCACAGTATTTGAAAGAAAAAATGGCCTCGCAATCATAATATACCATTGTGTTGTATAAATTGCAAATGTGTAATTTATGTTTGTTCCTCTACATCATATAAGGCAAATTGCCAAGGTTTGACATGAATAAACAAAATGTAAATGCTCTATGTAATCATCTATATTTATTTTTGATACCTACAAAGTTTGTATTGCTAGGTTTGCTTATTTTAGTCTTTATTTTTACTCTTTGACCTGCCCTTTCAGAAACAAAATGGTACTTTTAATTACCTCAAAATGTTTTAAGTGAAGCCAGGTTTAGAAATAAATTTTTTCATGAAAAAAAGTCAACTTGCAAGATAAAAGTACTTTGAGATGATTTAAATGCACTTTTTTTATCCAGCTTCCCAAAGGACCTGCTCATTATATGTTACTATTTTAGAATTGTGGAAGATAGCTTATATGAAGACCTGAGATCTTAAATTCCATCTTATTAATAAATTATATCTTTAAAATAATAGAGAATGGTAACTCTATTCTTTCTCCAAGGATTTGAAATCATATTCCTCTCAGTAATACATATTTCAAAAGAGTTAAAGTAAGGAAGTTGGTCTTTCTTTTCATGTTAATACCAGATCAATGAACATATTCAAAATCATTGGACTTTTTTTTTTTATCTTGTTTCTCATGACTTTCTCTTTGCATTTTTTACTGCATTTCTAAAAGGAAACTACTAAACTGAATTCTGATAAATATGAATTCTTCATTTATAGATATATGTTACGATGATATGTGATCATTGGGCAATACCTATATAGATACCTACAGCTTATAACATAATCACTTACTTTTATAAACATAAGCTGATTCTCAAAAATATTCTGAAAACAATATTTTCAAGGGTTTTGGATTGAGTTTTCAGACTAGTATCCTTATGCTATAAAATGTATATACTTGTGGTCTTTCAAAATACACATATATAAAGAAAACATCATTAGGTCAAGAGAAGAATTTTGGGAATGACCTCACATTCTGAAAATGTTTTATTTTGTGGTATGCACTCTTTTATATATCAGCCTTTGAGGAATTGTTGGAGAGGGGATAGCCTCTGCCTCTGTAAATCTGTGTATATTGGACTCCTGCAATCAATTCCTAGTTTTTCTACCCACTAGCAACATTTTCTCTCTCCAGGACACTGTTTTTGATTTGTAAGCAGAGGCAATTAGTCTGGATCACTGGATGGCAAATTTTTTTTTTTTTCTTAATGAGAACTAATTTAAGAAAAAAAATCTTTAAATTATATATTTTCACTTATGGGAATGGCCTTATTTTATTCCTTGGAGAAAATATAAATTCTCAAACAATTTTCTTCGTATATCAAAAGAGAAGTTTCGATAAGACCTATCATTTTTATATCCAATAAATACCCGAGTATTTGAGAACAAAACACATATAGCTTTGTGATTTTTATCATTAAAGTTAACCAAGGATTAGTTGAACTACATGTGGTTCCGTGATTTGGAAATGTTCACCAGAATTGATTATAAAGACATTTTCAGTTCAAAGTATCAGCAGTACTTGATTTTACAGAGCAAAATTTTCTTCTTTTCAACAACTACAATTTGGAATTTGCATTGGCATAAAAATTTATATTTGCCAATCATTTCTATAATCCATTAAAAAAGTGTGCGCAGCTGAACTGCTGAGAAAATTTACTCACATGTGAAATTAAAGTTTGGGAGTGCATTTATGACACTTGAATTATTAATGCCATCATTTGTTTCTTTTTCAAAATAACCTCTGAGGACCAAAGTTTAGCCACAGCAAATCTAAACTGAGTTTTATAGCTATTTGTGACTAATTATAAGTCTTTGAATGAAAACATGTTAAAATACATGTATTTAATATTCAAATGTGAACATGAGAGTTTTCATGCAAATCAAAAACCTTGCTTTTGACTCGGCCTTCACAGACCTAATACTCACATCTTGCCTTCATGGAATGAAGTAGCAAGCAGATTTCTAACAAAAATTGTCCATTCTGTAGGAGTCCCTCTTTATTTCCCTCAGACTCTGAAGCCTCATTAGGAACTTTTTTTTTCACTTTATTCTCCCTAGTTAGTATAAGTAAACCTGTTAAAAGGAAACATCTAAAGGCTGAGAAAAATGTTCTTATCCCCTCTGAGAGCTTGGAATCTGCTAGTACCAGTGAGGATGATAAAAGAAGAACGCCAGAAGTTTAGAGCAAAGAAAAATGGAGGATTGTTGTTTTGTTTTGTTTTGTTTTGTTTGCTATGAAGTTCGAAAAGAAGTTGGCCTTGGATTCAGAATTATGTAACCTGTGCTCAGCTAATAGCACTTTTGCACTATTTAGTTGTTTGTGATTACTGTTAGGCTGCCTTTTCCTATACTGATGGGTAACATGAGAAAAGTAAATAATTACCAAAACAATCTCAGCTTCCAAAGGTTCCCTCACTTTTGATATTGTCACTGGGGGTGAAGCTGCAATCTGTGCCCTCCTTTTGGCCTTCTGTGTCTGAAGATTGGTAAAGTAGTTGACAGCCGCAAACTCAATAAGAGCTGAGAAGACGAAAGCAAAGCAAACAGCTATGAACCAATCCATGGCGGTTGCATACGACACTTTTGGCAAGGAGTGCCGAGCACTGATGCTTAATGTGGTCATGGTTAAAACAGTGGTGATCCCTAAAGTGGGGGGGGGGGAAAAAAAAAAAAAAAAAAGAAAGAAAAAAAGAAAAAAAAAGAAATGCAGTATTAGCATTTGGAATCCAAAACCAACATCAAATGAGAATGTGTCAGTGGATTAAACACTCCAAATGTAATTTTTGATCTTGTTTTATAATTGTTCACAATTATTATATAGGTGTTACCATTTTTGTATTCTTCAATACCTAGTATAGTGGCATATACACTGTAGCTGCTCAAAAAATATTTTCTGATTCGATTTAGTTTAACTATTGTAAAGTTTAATTTGTGAATAATTCTAGTTGTTTAGTTCTTAAGCAAATTTATAGCAAATAATCACTTAAGTACTAAAAACTTGAATTCTTGGTCAATTTGAATAGCTGGTAATGTCTATCAACATATTTAAGAAGTCTATATGGTATAAATAGTAAACATAAAATTAGGTTCATCAGAATTTTTTGAAATTTCTAGCTTAGTTTTAAGGTATTTACTCATGAGAAAATAATTTCATCACTCCATCACCAGCAGTTTTATGTCTTATATAATAGTTGGGAAATACACGTAATTTAAAGATGATCAACATCATTATATAGATATTCTTTTATAATTTGCTGAAACATATCTATTTTAATATAGTAAATTAAAAAGTAAAAATTCATCTGAGATTTTAGTTCAACTCAGATCTTCCCTATAAACCTCTCTAAATGTATAATCATGAAAACCCAGAAACAATTGGCTTTTGTTATTGATGATATTTTCCGTTACAGCTTTTTCTCAAAACTAATAGTGATTCCACATATCATAAATAGTGAACTCAATAGGTTGAAACATGGGAAATTGGTTATATTTAACTATTTTGAGATCTAGAAAAACAACAGTTTATTATGATTCAACCTATTAAAGCAAGATATAATTTATAAGATATAATTTATGTATTAAGTTTCAATAGCCTTTCTTTTCATGAATTTACATGTCACTTTTACTCTTCTGCTTTTCCTTAGTTATGAAAAAGCAAATTGAGATTAAAAAACAACAACAACAACAACAACACTCCTAAATAGGGCACAGGAAAGGCACAGGAATCCAGCCAGAATTCTTGCCAAGACAAAGTTTTTCATGGATTCACCACATAGCTTGGGATAACATAAAGGTCCTTTAAGATCATACATATGCCTGAATGAGACTGGAGTCTGTTCCCTTTGTAGATCAAAAAAGTACACTAGTGTGAATATTCCCCTAACCTACACAAGCAGTAAGAGCCAGATGAGTGGAAGTATAGCCAAAGTGGGAAGCATACCAAATACGGTTCTGGCCGGGACAGACTCCTTATTAATCCAGAAAGACACTTGGGAAAGAATGACCGTCATAATGCAAGGAGTGTATATCTGTATCATGAAGTAGCCCATCTTCCTTTGCAAGTGGAAATAAACTGTCATTATTACGTATTCACCTGTTGGAAAACATTTATATCAGTATTATTGCTTTTGACAGGGTGCAGAAAGAATGCAGCTGGAAATAAATCTTGCAGATCTTTAACATGGGCTGGAAGAAAACAAGTAAAGTCATATTTCTCTGTATGACAAAGATACTTGATCAAGCAGATGATAGATACATCAGCTCATTGTTTTAGGTCGGGTTCTTTGTGTCATATGCGTAGAAAACTACTTATTCCAAGGTTACATAAATCTTTTTATGCACATGGTTGCAAAATCAATTTTAAAGAAGGCTACTCATCACTTCAAAACAGCAAATATAGCCAAGGATAGCTAATGCAGAAAGAACGAAATAGATATTTTGAAAATGTGTATGAAAGTCACCTTGCTGGGTTACATTCATGAATTGGTCTAATTCTTACCTGTGTTAGATTTAATTGTCTCACTAGATACTGTTTGTCCAATCAGATCGTACTGGAGGAGACTTGAAGATTCTTCTGGGACTTCGACAGAGTAAAGTGGTCCTTTTTTCCAAGTATATATGATTTCACTTTTGGGGTAAGCATCTAAATTTTTAAAACCAATTAAACATAACAGTGAATCTGACTAGTTTTTTTTTTTTTCAGGGCAAATTATGTCCATATAAAAAGGAACTACAAACATAAATTTAATTTTTTTTTAATCTGGGTAACTAAAACCTCTGACTATTTATAAGATTGACAGACATGATTAAGTAAGTATATTCCTGGAATAACAATGAGAATATCATAGTAATATTTCTCTTTTGCTTTTTGGTCTTTGGCTACAATCAAATAATGATACACACACACACACACACACACACACACACACACACGTATTTTTAAAAGACTGCTGCCTTTATTTATTTATTTATTTATTTAGATTTATTTATTTCAGAGTAAGGGGTAGAGGAGAGAAGCAGAGGAAGAGGGAGACAAGTAGACTCTCCACTGAGTGTGGGAAGTCCTGAGGTGGGGCTTAATCCCAGGACCCTGAGATCATAACCTGAGCTGAAATCCAGAGTTAGACCATTAACCGACTAAGCCACCCACGTGTCCCAGTAATTATATTTTGAATGCATAACTTACAACTCCCAAACTTGAGTGGACAAGCATGCCCATCCATAGGAAAGTTAACCAGCCTCATGGGACAGTCAGCATTGATGGTAAGCCTGAGGACATTAAAATAAATGGTTCCATGTTAGTATATGGACAAATCATTTGGATTAGAGGTAGCTGAATTGCGGAAACCTCACCTCATGGTATATAGAATGGTTCCATTTTGCATTATTCTGAAGAGTTTATTAGGGGTTGTCATATTGTGTGCAATTGATTTTTTGCCATTCCTGAAAAAAGTGTCAGGTGTCCAGATTTTACTGACCATCAAATTATTCAAACTCAGAATCTCAGTTGGCCCCCCAAACTTCAACCTCTCATCAGTCCAAGTCTGGCGGAAGAAAACGTCCATCGTATACTCCTAAGAGAAAATAAGATATTCATGCAAGCTGGGGAGATAATTTATTAAGAATAGTTTATTCACTAGCTTATATATCTAATTCTAAAATTTAGGAAATAAAACAACTTTTGTGATAATAACTTCAGACTATCAGAGAACCTGTGACTTCAGTAATTATTATTTTTCTCAAACTCAAAGTTTGCAATATTATTATAAAAGATAGCACTGTGTTGTGCCAAACTCCCTCCTCCACCTTAACCTTCTTCAATATTCTTCCTCTTTTCTATCAGTCATCCACCTCTCCATCTATTGACCTATCAAATTCCCCTCCACTAATTTAGAAGAAAAATATGAAAAGATTTATAGTCTAGGTTTTGTGCTGGCCTTCCTACCATCACAGTCTAGCACACCCTTCAGTGCCTTCTTCACTTTCAAAGGTGTCTCCAAACACCTTAGTACCATTTACCAAACTTCCAAGGATGGGTAAACTTTGCTTGATAAGTGTATTCTGGCGGCACATCCCAATAATTTTATATTGTTCTTGGAGAATATAAAAGCAAATATTACCTTGATTATTCAGAGCATCATTTAAGTATGCATAATTGAAATTTTGAGTTTTAATTTGTGGCTTTTATGAAATAACATTAGAAATATTAAGAATTATGGTAAGAGCCATTGCAAAAGTCAATGATAAATAACAGCTTGTAAGTATATAAAAATATTGCCAATAATTGCTTTGCCTATTTATGTGTTCCTGTATGAGACCTATTACTACAAGTTGTGATTAGATTTTTAAAATATAATTTGACACACAGTATACCCATATAATAACGATCCAGGCTTTAACAAGTCTCTACTGTACAAATATACTTAAAAAATGAAACACATACATAAAATGAAGTGTCAAGTGTTCCCCAGACTTCAATAATATAGTATAGTATGGTTGTGGTTATTTATACTTGGGGTGAGTCAGTACTCAATGAAAAATATGATAGTAAAATAATTGAGGATTCTGGATAATGCTGACTCTCCTTTCTTTCAAGTCTTAAGACATTTTTCTCTTAAATAAAGTCCTTCTCCCTCTCCTTCACTTCCTCATTTTCTTTCTTACTTTTTTCCCTCCCTTCTCCTTTTCTTTCCTTTGGTACTTCCTTTTTTCCCCCTCTTACCTCTTTCTTTTCTTGTCAACTCAAAGATCAGAAGATAAAAAAGTCTCCAATAACTATTTATCCAGAGCTACATTTCCCTAATAAACTTTAATGATTCAGTTATTTAGAGAGTTATGTGCATTTAGATTTTAGTACTTATATTTTACTTTTAGGGGGAAATGGTAACTGAAAACTGTGGAAAAAATATCATGATGCACTTTGTTCTAGAAGACTAGTTCAGATTTTCATTGCCACTTACTATAAATAATCTCTTACGAATCCTACAGCCATCTGTACCTGGAACAGAGTTCCCAGAACACCTACTGGTCCATTTGCAACACAAAAGGTACAAAGCACTAGCTTTTCCAAATGATGCCCTTCACTGTTTTAATAAAATATACTGAAAGTGATGTGTTACAGAAAACAGCCATATTTTAAGTTTCATGGATATTCTGAATATACTCTTACATGATATATCATCTTTGTTGATTTTTCTTTTTTTCTATTCTAAAAATTTACCAAGACTATATAAAGATGGGGAAACCTTATCTTTGTAGAAAATAATGGGTGCATAATACATGGCCAGAAGAGAGAATAGAATCTTAGAAAGTCCCGCAGGTTAAAGTGTTCAAGCGGAGCCCTTAGCGAAATGTCAAGGCAATTAAGCCAGTAATCTGTTCTAATGACCATACCCTCCCGGCATGAACACACATATTGCATTAGGACTATGGAGCCAAGCTTGGTAACAATGTCCAAGATCATTAGTTCTGGGACTCTGCCCTCCCGCCAACAAATAAAGTTACCCTCCTCACTCAGAGCTGACTCACCATCTCCACATCGGACACGGGCCCAAAACTGGTCACATAAATGTCTGTTTTGACTTCAGTGACAGCACCTGAAATTAGCCCAGAAGCATGGGGGCAAATATCACCAGTGATTTTAAGGACACTGAACTTAATGACCCTACCACAAAGTCCCTTCTCATGGTTAGAACCTGCAGTCCATCCTAAAGGAATTCACTAGCAGAAGCCCTTGGGTTTTTCAACTATGAAAACTCAAACCGGTTGCATTATTTTGAAAATTTTCTGGTCATTTTGAAAAATTTAAGGAATGGAAGATAAGTAAGTTAGTGTTCTCTTAATAATTATAACAATAACTAACACACCTTGGTAATTTTTTTTGGGAGGGGAACAAATGCTTAGAAAAGTGCTCTAGATGGAGAATCTCATTCTACACTCACACAACTCTATGAGGCAAACACTATTCATACACCCACACTACAGCTGAGGAAGCTGAGGCTTAGAGGGTTCAAATAACATGCATAGAAGGTCACAAACAGAGGAAGGGACAGAGACTGGATGGAACATGTGGCCTCTCCCAGTACTCCTGCCCCTTACCAATCTGCAATCCTTATGAAGTCTCTGGGTCTTAGACAAAGGGAAGGGGGAAAGAAGAATATAGACATTTGGTTTAGTAAGGATGCTGCCTCTCACCTCCAAATCCTGGACGTAGCCGATTGTCATAGCCCTCAAGCAAGTTGTCCAGGATCCGACTGATGTTTCTGGAGTAGAAGTTTCCTTCATCTTCTAGTGTCCCTAGGGTATTTTCTACCCTGTGAGCAAACAGTCCATGATCCTCACTCCCGGGCTTAGAGAGAATAGGCTGTTCAATCTACTCATGTACCCCACAACAAATACATGCCACACCACCCAGGCTTCTTCCATGATTTGGTATAGAAGTCACCCAGTGGGTGTGTGCTCTTGTTTTCCTCTGCACTAAAATGAAAAATCAGAAAAATATCTTACTCACCATAGAAGAATGTAGAGCCAGGGCAGAGGTGATGCCATCCTGCAGTGCTCAGCAATGCCTAGTTCACCCTCCTCCTGTGTTCTCCTTCCTCTTAACAAGTCCCCCCCCACCCTGACTTTGCCAATCAAATAAAGTAACCTTCCAGACCCCTCATATCTCTTTTCCCTATTTGCCTTCAGCCAGCAATCCAGAGATGAAGAGGTTGCCCACAAAACTTGTTCTCTCTTTTGCCTTTTCACATGGAACAAGGTGGCTTGTGGTCTTAGACTACATCCTGATGGACACTCAGCATCTTCTGGTAGACTCACTTGGGAAAGGAGAGTCTGAAGGGACAGTGTATGGTTGGAGAGCAGTGACAATAATCGAATAAGGCATTAGGGGAGATTAGAAGGAAGAAATCCACTGCTAGTTTTGGCATGGAATTAGCAGGGCCCTGTGAGGAAATCTGGAAAGCAGTGGCATCTTGCTGATTGAGATTATGTTCCAATGGGCTCAGCATTTATTATTTCTCTGGTTCACGGAAGGATTCCTACACAGCTCTTACTGCTTAAAAAGCCCAACAATATTGAGATCCTTTTGAGTTCTCTTTCTAATTTCATCAGCTTTATTACATCAGACACACCTTTCCTCTGCATTTAAAAATTGTCCCTCATTATTCTTTGAAATGCATTTATAATATGCTAGAACAACACTTGACTGTCTTACTATCGGGTTAGTGTATTTTGTTTAAGTACCTTATTGATCCTTCTTAAGATAGGACAGCTCAAGCTAAGCCATAAATGGGTCCTACCACTATCTTTAGAGAATTCGTCAGTTTCATGGATGTCCGGAAATAGCTGATTAAAGTTCTCCCTGTAGAAATACTGTAAGAATAAAGCATCTCTGCACATGCTTATTGATGATTTCCTGGCACTATTTCACTAGGCTTGTCACAGGTCAAAAGCAAAATGTTTGAACCTAGGAAATAGCATTCTCTGACGAGTCTGGTAGATGGAAGTTGAAGAAAAAGAAGTCACTTTAATCCTTAAAATTGTAATCTTTAAATAAATGATTTAAAATGAGAATAAAGAAAAGCATTGTGAATCTTTGTATATATATATTTAATTATATAGAATTAAATTAATAATATATATTAAATATTATATATATAAATAACATATTTAGAACATCAGGAACATAAGAAAAAGAACCAAATATCTCACATGACCATCATTCTGCCAGATCTACACAATATTTATCCAGTTCACAGTCTGTATCATCAGAATCTAAATTCTACAAAGATAATCATATAGCAGTCTTAAGAGTAATTTCTGAAGACATGACATAAATTATTTGAGGAACATTTCAATAAATTAGCTCTGACTAAAAAGAAACAATAGAAAAGGGTAAGACTGAAAGATTTCTGTGAAAGAGTTTTTTTTTTAAGATTACAGAATCTCACTGTTACTTGGAATTTTTTTGTTATTCATCAAATATCAATATCCCCCAGTATTCTTGATAAGTGTTATTCAGCATCTGTTTTCTTAGATTGTTTTACTTGTGCTAAGCTGAAACCTGTGCCCTGGTCCTAGTTCTCACCTTTGAAAACATACACAATAATTTGTCAGGAAAAGACCACATGGAAGCCATCTAAACAAGATGTACATGTACACTCAAATTCAAGTTAACATTTCTAAAATCTTCTCTTGTTCATTATAGGACCTGGTTTCCGTATCTCTTCTTATTCTTTTCACACTAAATTGACTGTAATTGATGACCACAACACATTTTCAGCTCCCATTGATTGTACAGTTATAATCTAAACCTTAACTGTGTGATATATATGATGCTATGAAATAATTCTCTGTTCGTTTTTGCTACAACTTACTATTTTCATTCAAGCATGGGACTCTGTATTGAGCTCTGAAGACTTGCATGATTTTTTTCTATCAATATGTTTATCATCCATCTCTGATTTCTATCATCAGAGAGAAAACTTAGTAAGGTGTTTAAGACTGGATATTTTTCCTATGGCAAAAAAAAAAAAAAATGATCATGGGTGAGTTGTACCAATATACTTACTCTTAGAGAATGGATATGTTTTTCCTCATTAAATTTATTTATTTAAAAGAGACAAATAATAGTTAAGTCACATTTGTCTCTAAAGAGAATATTCACTCCTTGTACCATCACCAACAACAAGGTTTGTGTGTATAAAATAACTTATAAAAACTCAGGGATGATTAGAGAAAATTATTGCACAGAAAAAGCAAACTTGGCACCAAACACTAAGTAGTACTTTCCATGATATAAAAGAGCCATTAGTTTTCCCATGTGTAGAAGGGGCTTGAACCAAAGGATTCTGGTATTTATGTAAGTGCTTCCTACCTAGTAAGAACTTGAAACATTTTTCCGTGTATGCCTTAGAAACTGTTACGGAGAGCAAGTCAGTCTAAAAATAATTAATGCAAGTTAAGACAGTATCAGTGAGAATTAACTTAATATTAATAATAACTACCAAATATTTAACATTTACCATAGGCCTAGAATTATGTTAAGAACCCATACACTCCCACTTATTCACTGCTAATACAAAAATCTATGAGTTGTCTATAATTGAGTCCATTTTGTAAATCAGCAAGTATGTAACTTGCCTAATCTCACAGCTAAAAAATGGCAGAATCAGAATTCAAAAGTGGGTATAAGCTAAGGCCACTGGACTGAATGCAGTGAAAAATAAGTTTCCATTGTATAAAAGAAATAATTTCTACCTGTGGTATTTATTCAAAGATGGAATGAGTGCCATAAAAGAAAACGAGTTACCTGTTAACAAAATATTCAAGTATAGCATAGAACACCACATGTAGATTTAATGGATGTTTGTTTCAGGAGGAAATGACATAATCTCTAAGAATATTCAGTAGGAGGCTGAGGCTATTTGGGGTCATTGTAAGGAAGAGTTGTTTGGTAGAGACCTCAAGTATATTCATAGATTATTCAAAGATACTATGAGGGAGTTTCTCTGAAGTGATGTGAGATGAGGGACTTAAAAGGTTTACTAGGAGGTACACTGGAGGAGAAAAATGGAGAGATACTACTAGGCTGTAATAAAAGAAGAAGAAAAAGTCGTAGAATATATAATAATATTTGTGGAACACTTAATATATGTCAATCATGTACATTGATATTATCTCTAATCTGTGAAACTGTCTTACAAGGTAGCAATTTTCATCTTTATTTTACAAAGGATAAAATAAGGCTCACAAAAGATAAATGTATCTATCCTAATATTCTAGAGCTAGAGCTAGTTATTATCTCAAATTCCTAGTATACTTTCATACTTGATGCTTTACATATGATAACTCTGACTATTTTCTAAAGTTGGGACTGTTAAACCCTCTGGACCAACAATATTTTTTATATTGTTAAGGGATACCTGACCTCTCTGTGGACACCATAGAAAATCCCCATGCAATACTGTTTGGGATCCAATGCAATAAGAATAAAATTGCTCTGGAAGACAAAGGACAATAAAGAGAAAGTCTTCTGGTCACCAGCTTTAAATTGTTCTGTCTTGGTTACCAATAGAATGTTGAACACATTATATGGCATGGACGTATAGGCAGGCAATATCAATTTCAAATCTTAAAACACAAATATTGAGGAAACAATAGTCATGTCCAAAAGATCACAGGTCTATGAATTCATGATTTATGCCTGTTCAACCAGTATCACTTCAATTTAATGTTTGTTTATTAAGCGCTTGGTGACAAACACTTGATGCTGAAGATATAGAAATTTTAAAAAATAATGCTTATCCTCAGGAAGTTCATATTCTAGATATTAATATTAACATAATAGAACTGATAAGATACTGATTGCTAAATACATGTGGTTAATTATTAGCCATGTGCGGGGCGCCTGGGTGGCTCAGTGGGTTAAGCCGCTGCCTTCGGCTCAGGTCATGATCTCGGAGTCCTGGGATCGAGCCCCGCATGGGGCTCTCTGCTCAGCAGGGAGCCTGCTTCCTCCTCTCTCTCTGCCTGCCTCTCTGCCTGCTTGTGATCTCTCTGTCAAATAAATAAATAAAATCTTTAAAAAAAAAATTATTAGCCATGTGCAATGGGAACAGAGCGAAAAAGTATCTGTGTGTGGGGGAAGGTGGTCAGTGATTATTTCATGAAAAACACAACATTTGGACTGAGCTTGAGACATTGAATAAACTTTGAGCAGATTAGAAAAGGCCATTCCAGGCTGCATTATGAACTCAGAGGTGTGGCAATTCATGGTATGTTTATAAACAGCAAATAAGTCTGAGAAACTAGAAAATAAGAAACACAGAATATAATGGATAAGAAAGACTGGAAGATAAGCATGGTCCAATAGAGAGAGATTTCATGCTTCTCACTAGAGGATTTGAAAATGTCATGGCCATATGTAGCAGACTATGATGGAGTTGTCTAAGGAATTCATAACAGCACTTTTTCTCTGAGAATTGCCTTACTATTTTATAGGGGTAGGGACTTAATTTGTTATGGTTGTGCTGCTTGATCCTATGTCATGCCTCTGTTGATTATACCACTTTGCTATCAGCTAACTTGGGTTCATCAGCAGGCAAGTAACTCAGGTAAATTATTTTTTACCTCTAGGTATCATCTTCATCACCTATAAAATGAAATTATAGGGTCTTGGTGAGGATTAAATTAAAAATTCACTAAAGCCTTTATCACAGGAAATTGCCTATAGTAAACAAGAAGCAAAACCACCCATCTACATCACTACAAATATCATCACCCATAATCAACATTGTTGTTATCATTTGGGGCCAAATCATTTTTTCCCCTCTAACATTTAGAAATGAAGTAAAAAAAAAATAAAAAAGAGAAATTGGTCTATGTAATTTACTAAGGCTGCCACTGTTAGAGGAAGGCATATTTGGCCAAATTCATGCTATATCAGAGAAATAGCTATAGACAGAGAGGAACAAGAAATGCAGTGGTCCTGCTGAAAAAAAAAAACAGAGACAATCACCGCAGAGACAAATCACTGCAACCCAAAAATCCTGAGAGAGCAACTGCCTGGAATTCTGATGGCCTCCCTGATTCCATTGCTTCATAATGTAGGTGTTATTTCTATCTTGAGTTCCTTTTTATAACTTATTTTTATTTTTATTTATTTGTTTTTGCTCCAGGTAAGGGGGTTACTGTCGCTAGCTCCTAAGGTGTCTTTTAGAGCTCAGAAAACTATATCCCAAACTTGAAAGCAAAATTTCAGATGGTGATATGACAGTATGACACCTGGATGGACCATGTGCATGACCCACTGGAGAGCAAACATAGATAAAGTGGAATCATGAGTGTGCTTCCTGGGCCTTCTGGAAGGGAAGGTGCTAACTGGCAAATACATAATGATCTTGCTGCTTATTGAATCTCTCACACCTCCATGGAGTAGAGTAAGCATTTTAGTAAA